ATATACATTTAAAGTGATGCTTCTTATTTTTATTCTTAAAAAATGATATATTTGGCAATAACAGACTTTCGTAGCTCACAGTCAACTTAAAAAAAACCATTCGGAAATCCTTTGGCAGATGTAATGATCTTATTGCTTTGTCTACAAACTGTTCCCTTCTCCTCACTCACACATTACACATATAAATAAATAACATTTTGTATAAGATGGCACCCAATAATAACTGGATCTATACACATCGCGGCTGGTCCGAGATATATGCATTCAAGCACTTCAGGAGGTAAGGCTGGCACAAGGCTTTTGCATTTTTATATTGCACAGGACTCATTACTGTGTTGCCTCTTGGTACGTATGGTTCCACAGGTCCTCAATGTAGGAGATCTTCAAATGTTATCAAGATTGCGTGGAAAGGCCCCGTGTTGGAATGTTATTTTCCTGGTGGCCCGGGGTAAGGAGGTGGAGCGGGGTATTGTACAGGCACTGATGCAGATGGTGTGTAGGGTGGAGGAAGGTCCATAGGATACTCCATCTCATATTCATAACTATACGGTGGTGGAGAAACTGAGAAAAGAAGCAAAAATAAAAGATGTGAGAAACAGGTAAAATGGCATCAGAATTAAATTACTGTACACATTGGAGATGATTTGTTTCAAATAAAAAATAGAAAATTAGTACAAACTTGGAGCTGTTGATTAAACAAGTATTCAGATTGGTCACTTTGGGCAAAAACTCCACTAATGTTTCTATTATGTTTTCTCTCTTTGAAATTAATCAATTTGAATTGAAAATAAACGAAATGACCCAGCCCCACAGGCTTACAGTGATACTAAGCTCAGGAGTTAAATCTTAAAAATACATTCAAGTACCTTAACTATTAACAAAAAATTTATCTTATTTGTGTATCACTTGGCTGTAGATCCTCAAATCATGTCTGTATTTGTGCTGACACTGCCCTTCCTTCTGGAGGGTGGCTACTTTTGTTCCCCATGGCCCCTATGTGTGTTGTAAGGTAGCCACCGCTCCAAGCTTACTCCTGTGATGGACTACAATCTCAATACAAATTAGTAAACTAAACATGAGACTGTAGTCTATCACAGGAATGAGTTTGGAGCGGTGGCTACTTTACAACACACACAGGGACCATGGGGAACAAAAGTAGTCACCCTCCAGAAGGAAGGATAGTGTCAGCACCAATTCAGATACAAATAAGATACTGTCAGCAACATACCTGCTCCACGCATGCGCCAAGGAGGATGCTCACACGCATGCGCATAGCACGTCTTTCCCACAGAAAGACGCGCCGTAAGCCGCACCGGAAGTGACGTGCATAAGGCAAGTGTCAAGAAAAACACGCCAAATGGCGCACAGGAAGTGACGTGGTTGATTGGCTCACTTCACTATTTTAACCCGGCTTGAATGCCATTAGTTGCTGGATTGTCTTTTCAGCCTTAGTGTGATTTGGAATTCCGTTTTTGCCTTGTCATGTCTACAACCGTTTCTCTGGATTTTTGACCCGTTCCTGTTTAACCACCTTCCTTGTTTGCTGCCTGCCTTTTTGACCTCGGACTGTTTATTGGACTCTGCCTTATCCATCGGTACTGCATCTGATCTCCTGGCTTTGACCTCGGCTTGAATTGACAACAATTTCTGGATTAAACAAAAGTAGCACGGCTTCAAGACCATTGGCACTCGTGCCACTCGGTGCCTGCCGGGCCTCTGTCACCAACCTCAAAGGCCACACGACCTGAGGTGTAAGAGAAGCCTCCTCAACCATCCAGTCTCCCTACCAGGTACGTGATAGATACATTTTTTGTTAATAGTTTAACAATGGTTTAACAATCCAGTATCTCCCAAAAGCCAAACATCAGTTATGGGTAGACTGGCCCTACAACTATAATATCAGGTATTGAATGTAATTGGCTTTTTATTAAGGGTAGATATGTAATTTTACTGCAACAAACAAATGAGAGTACAACTATTTTAGTGCAACATTTTTCTATGTTATTCTGTTCAATGGGACATTGGGGGACAATTCATTAAAACTGTCTATGATGCTCTTTAGAATTCCACATTGCATCCGTGCGACAGTGCATAAAAGAATATAGATGCTAAGTGACAAGAAGTGTGTTATTTGCAGGATTACCAGGTGAAAATTAAGGGAAAAAATGTCTGGAAAAAAAGAAAATGAATGCAGCCACAACATCTTTAGACTGGTAAGCTGTAATATATCAAATTACTGTTTCTGGGTTTAGATACGATTTATAGTACTAAAATCTCAGCCTTTCTTCAATGTTGAATCCAGATCAAATATACATTTCTACATTTCCCTGCAAAGAATTTCTTGTCATTTTTGTCCAAGCACTTACAGTCATCATATTTCCTAAACAGCTCCCACCATCTCAACCATCTCAGCTCGGCTTCCCTGAACTTCCTGCCCAGTACAAGATCACAAGGGACAGAGCAGACTCCAGCAACCGTCCATCTACTAGCTGGGAGCAGGGAGGAGGGAAGTGTCTTGCCTTGCTGCGCCTGTGTGTTTGTAAAGAAACGCACAGCTCACTAGCACTCCATAGGACCCTGCAAGGGAAAGGAGCCTCCCTAAAACAGAATATCAGGGTCAGTGCTCAAGGGACCGGCTAATTCTGCAGGTAATGCAAACATTTAAACAGCAGCCTCCATTGTGAGTTAATCAGATCTGAAATATATTAAAAACTTTAATGTCACTTTAACTACTCATCCCATACTAACTTATACAATAGATATGTAACGTGTTCAGCACAATTGTCGTTTTTCGCACGTAGGCGCTACGGGCGGGGGGCTTAAACATTTTTTTTCCCCATTTTTTAATTTTTTTTATGTTACATTCATTTTTAAACACTTTTTTTTTGTACACTAACCCTATTGGTATTACAGAGGGGACTAACAAGCACCCCGTGTAATAGCAGATAGGGTGTGACAGGTCCTCTTTATGGAGGCATCAGGGGTCTTTTAGACCCCTAATGTCACCTAGAGACCCCAAACAAGCTGAGGAAGCCGAGATCTGCTTTCCCAGCTTCTTGTCCTTGCTCTGAGAGCCGGAGACTGTGTACATTTTCTTCAATGTTGAATCCAGATCAAATATACATTTCTACATTTCCCTGCAAAGAATTTCTTGTCATTTTTGTCCAAGCACTTACAGTCATCATATTTCCTAAACAGCTCCCACCATCTCAACCATCTCAGCTCGGCTTCCCTGAACTTCCTGCCCAGTACAAGATCACAAGGGACAGAGCAGACTCCAGCAACCGTCCATCTACTAGCTGGGAGCAGGGAGGAGGGAAGTGTCTTGCCTTGCTGCGCCTGTGTGTTTGTAAAGAAACGCACAGCTCACTAGCACTCCATAGGACCCTGCAAGGGAAAGGAGCCTCCCTAAAACAGAATATCAGGGTCAGTGCTCAAGGGACCGGCTAATTCTGCAGGTAATGCAAACATTTAAACAGCAGCCTCCATTGTGAGTTAATCAGATCTGAAATATATTAAAAACTTTAATGTCACTTTAACTACTCATCCCATACTAACTTATACAATAGATATGTAACGTGTTCAGCACAATTGTCGTTTTTCGCACGTAGGCGCTACGGGCGGGGGGCTTAAACATTTTTTTTCCCCATTTTTTAATTTTTTTTATGTTACATTCATTTTTAAACACTTTTTTTTTGTACACTAACCCTATTGGTATTACAGAGGGGACTAACAAGCACCCCGTGTAATAGCAGATAGGGTGTGACAGGTCCTCTTTATGGAGGCATCAGGGGTCTTTTAGACCCCTAATGTCACCTAGAGACCCCAAACAAGCTGAGGAAGCCGAGATCTGCTTTCCCAGCTTCTTGTCCTTGCTCTGAGAGCCGGAGACTGTGTACAGTGACACCGGAAGTGATGTAATACACAGCACTTCTGCGTCCTGTGATCGGAGGAGAGATCAACGACCGACCCAGTGGCCGTTGAGGGGGTACCACACAGTACAAACGGCTGTTCAGACACCAGATCGATTGTAAGTTATACAGCAATCGCCTGCTGTTAAAAGCAGTACCAAGAGCACGGCTGCCGAAGCAGCCGTTTTCTTGTTTTACCCACTTCTGCAGGCCCACTTCTATAGACATACTGCGGCCCGGAAGTGGTTAAAGTGACATTAAAGTAAATGTTTTCCCCCTCCCCCCAATGTAAATGCCAGCACTTACCTTAACTGATGTCTCTTATATATTGAAGAAAGAATAACCTCAGTACCCCTATCGTAATAGACAACTCATCTAAAGCGCTGAGCAAATTGTTGGCGCTATATAAATCCTGTATAATAATAAAAATATTGCCCTGTTTAAGCTGTGCTATCAATTTGCACAACTTTTGAGGGTGTCAACTTCAGCATTTAATTTTAGCTTTCCTCCCATGACGCATTCTGATAGCGGGAGACTCCCAGAGCGTCCGGGAGAGTTGGGATGTCTGCTATTTAAGCATTATCAGCCTGTGCTTGTGATAGTTCGTGCTATACAAGCTGTGTGCTGTCCCTGCAAGTCCTGTGTCTGGAAATCTTGTTTGTCTTCGTTTCTGACCTTGGCCTGTCCCTGGATTACGCTTTGCTTTCTACCAGCCCTGACCTCAGCTTGTGCCCGGATTACCCTTTCCAGCCGCCAGCCTCCAGCCCGTCCCTGATTACTTTATGGTAGTGTCCTTCCACTTCGGTCCGTACCTCGGTTTACCACCTCTTGCCAGCCTGTGGCTTCACCTGATCAGAACATACAGTTTAAGTCCTGGGGGCATCCAAGAACCGGTAGGTGTGCTTGCCTTATGGGAACGGCGGCTGCTATAGGTGAAACAACTCGTCACTATTTGTTCTGACAGCGTGCGTCCACAGCTGGTCCTAACAAATATTTACGACTTCTCATTTTAAAACAGCATGGTCCTTTCCTATGAGACTAGAACATTTCCTAGTGGTACGGGTCTACCCTTACCTGAATATGAGCTGATGGTATTGATATGTGTGGTTCGGACAACTCCTACACGGGTTCCTCGGCTGTTCTTCATACACATACAGATACAAATTGCGATCCCGGCGATCACTCCCATAATGAACACAATTCCGAACACAATCCCTGCTATCGCTGTGCCCCTGTAACACACAAAACGGGAGGTTAATGAGTGGACCGTTTAACATTAGACCTGCTGGTCTGTAGAAATATCTGGGTATTGGATGTAACTGCTGCTGTTTGTTTATGATAACTACAATAAACACATAAAATAAAATGGAGATATTTTAATTGAAAAACTTCCATTTACAGTAAACTCCCCATTATCCAGCATTCAAGCACCGGCACTCCTAAGCAAATAGCAAGACAAATCGGTTGCTTGATAGACATGGAGACACTAAAAAATTCTGTTAGCAACTAAATTGATATAGTTGTGAACGAAATGCTTTGTTAACATCTTGCAGTGGCTAGATACCGCGGTCCACAGTAGAATGTAAACAATGGGGAGCAAAAGCCAGCCTGCTAGTGGCCATTTCAAATTGCAATAGCCAATAGCAGGCTGGCTATTGCACCTGCCCACTGAGCAGAGAAGCGGACCTGAGAGAGAACATTCTCTGTGCAAAAGCTTTCTGTAATAAAGACCTCTCTGCTCAAAAGAAGACGTCAAAATGGCAGCTACATATTTATCTCATTACATGTTTTTGTTAAACCGGAACTCCCTAAAAACCACTAATTCGTATGTGAGCTGTTGTAGGTGCTAACGGTTTTGGTATTCTGTTCAGCCAGGCTTATGATCAGATCACCCCTGCCAGACAACACAGGTAGGTCTGTGCCCTTCCTTCTATAGCAGGGCATTGATGAGGTCACCTCTATGGTCTCTGATCCCGAGGGGATTTTCAAAGAGTTAACATACAAAGCTATTTAAAAGGACAGAGCCCTGACTGGCTGACACTGCTACTGTGCAGACAGATATAAAGACTGATTCAGGTACATATGGGAGCTATGTGTAAATATACACTTACATGTACACAGTTCTAAAGTCCCAGCATGTAGGCAGGGTTCACTCTTGGGGTGTTGCATGGGTGTTCCCCTTGGGTTAAAAAAAAGTACTTAAAAAAACGTACGATCTGCCCATCTTGGACAGGCAGATCGTACTTGCGATCATCACAAGCCCGCCCCCCTGAGGGGCGGGCTTACGATGACTGCAATGAGGGGCGGGCTTACGATGACTGCAAACGGGCTGTGTGCGTGTGCGCACACCGGCCCGTTCGGCAGTTGTCGAACCAGCAGGCCACTAACTCACCGAGAATCGTACGATTCCCGGCGGGTTTTCTAGCCTGCTGGTTCGACGGAAGACGTGCGACAGTACATTAGAAACGGTTGCACGCCTTCCATACACTGCACGATTCTCGTACGATCGCGGGATTTCCCGCGATTCTCGTACGAGAATCGTGCAGTCTATGGGCACCTTTAAACACAATGTTGACCTGAATTCCCCTTACAAACTGATCTTGTCCAGTCTTTCAGTCCATGTGACATGCTTTAGCAATCAAGCCAAGATACTGGTGTTTTAAATCAGTATGTTCCCAATACAAAATAACAGTGTTCTAGCTGTAATTTACCGCAATTTCTTGTAAACAGAATGAAATGCGAGTCACTTAGTGATGTGCTACCACCAGCGTGTCAGTGGATTTTAAAAATAATTGCTTACCTGACCTTTATTATGTACACTTCATTCCCTGCCACACTGAGACACTTTGTGTTACTCTGCCTGTCTGCCAGGAAGCCTGTTATACAGATTAAACACTGAATCTCCGAGCATTCCATTTGCCACGTTCATTATCAGACTCTGCTAAATAATTACCCGGGTCCTTTTCAGAAACCACAAAAAGAAGGTAAAAGCCCCATCATAAGGTTAATAACGGGCATAAGCAAATTGCTTGCAATAAGCAATCAAAGGAATCTGGATGACGGAATTTTTTGGATTATGTGTTGATGATAGGGTTGCACAGATACCAAGTACAGTACTCGGTACAAGTACAAGTACATGTACCGATACTTTTGAGCTCCAAGACTAGACTAGAGAAAAATTCAGAAGTTAGGAGGCAGCTGTAATTTGTAAGGAGCACACGGAGCTCCTGGGATTTGTACATCTTTGTTTTAATGTATTATTTTGTTTTTATAAATAAAGGGATGCACAGATACCAGTTTTGCGAGTACGAGTACTGGTACTTGCCGAGTACTTACAAGTACGAGTACTGATATATTTTTGTTTATTGTCATGTGACAGTTTTTCTAAAACAATACAGACTAATGATTTCAGGACAGTGGTGGAGCGCCAGAGCGAGGTCCCAGCTGCAACCGCTGCAACCCTGGTAGTTCTCATGAAAATGCCAAGTATCTGCACTGGTATCTGAACAAGTATCTGTGCATCCCTAGTTGATGACATTATTTGTTTTATCATAAAAATTCTATTAGTCGGTAGATGCTCTGTAATGTAGGAACTCCAAAGTAACAAATGCTCCTCTGTATTGTAATGATAAGGATTAGATTGGATGGATGAAAATAATAATCTGTCATTTCATTTAATATTGTCATTAAAATGTATTAATTAAAGGTATGGGGGGGGGGTTTCATGATGGCGAGAGTAAAGCTGGTCATACATTGCGAATGTTGGCCAGTTCTTGATGAACTCATTTCAATCAGTGGGTGGCCCTGTTTGCACCCTACAATCAGAAAATCAAAGGAGCTGGTCGGAAATGTTTTGGGCAAACAGTGGCGGTGGCCATTTCAGGTATTATAACAGTGGCACACCCGCTGCCGTCAGAATACAACAGCCCAGCCAGAGATTCATCCATCCGGTTTAAGGTTAGTGTGGATGGGGGAATCTGTTACTGTATTTTCCTTCAGCCCACAGGTTGAATGAAAAAAGTATAACAATGCATGGTTGAAATCTGTGACTGGTGATGTTGCCATTGAAGTCCCATTGGTAAGATTTGCTTTCACTTCCTGTTCTGTAGATCAGCCTTTCTCAATCGGAGTGCCGGTGCGGTCTGACTTTGTCAGGGGTGTTGTCAAATTTCCATTCACTTCTTTCCTGTGGTGCTAGTGGGCCACAAATTTTGATGTGAAAGGATGGGTGGACTCTGATGTGAGAGGGGCTGCTGATGTGAATGTGGGGGCTTCTCATGTAAAAGGGAGGGCTTCTGATGTGTAGGGGGGCTTCTGATGTGGAAAGTGGCTTTGTTGTGAAGGGGGGCTTCTCATGTGAAAGGGAGGGCTTCTGATGTGTAGGGGGGCTTCTGATGTGAAGAGGGGCTTTGTTGTGAAGGGGGGCTTCTCATGTGAAAGAGAGGCTCTAATGTGGAAGGGGGAGCTTCTGATGTGAAAGGGAGGGCTTCTGATGTGGAGAGTGGCTTCGTTGTGAAGGGGGCTTCTCATGTGAAAGGGAGGGCTTCTGATGTGTAGGGGGGCATCTGATGTGAAGAGGGGCTTTGTTGTGAAGGAGGGCTTCTGATGTGAAAGAGAGGCTCTAATGTGGAAGGGGGAGCCTCTGATGTGAATGGAAGGCTTCTAATGTGAAGGGGGGCTCTGTTGTGGAGTGGGGGGGACTTCTGCTGTGAAAGGGGAGCTTCTGATGTGAAAAGGGGGGCTCTTTTGTGACAGAGGGCACTCTCCATTGTTTTTTGCAGGGCATCCACGTGAAAATCTATAACAGACCCATATCTAGGAAGAGGGTCTGGTATAGATTTTGGAGAACCACATCATTTTTTGCATTTCCAATTTTCTCATTTTAGTCTGAGGTCACTGACAAAAGGTTTAGAATTGCTGATGTAGACTCAAGAGGAGACGAGAAAACAGTTGTCGCCAGAACAAGTATCCCCACTGTTCTTATTTTGTTGAGAAAATCAGATTTTCCCTCACTTTAAATGGTCAACAGGGCAAACAGAGAGGGTGAATCTCCACAGCTAAGATACAGACAACAATAAAAAACCCCGTCCCACTCCAAGAAAAAAATTCATTAAAATCAATATCCAATGTTCATTCATATTTTATGCATCATGTGACACAGCGGGCTTCTTCTCTCTCAGTACTCTCTCAGTGTCTTACATAATTCTATTTTTCCCATTAACTCATTGGAGGTGTTTTATTCTGTCATCCCTAATCATGCATGAGTTATATTTTGCTGCTGTCACTGTATTTCTTAATTCTCACTGTTATATAGAATATCAATAAAATAATTGTTTTAAAAAAAGTCATTATAATTGGATTTTTGCAGACTAAAATGGAATATAAAAAATTTGTCAGGCCGAAACGGAAAATTATTTTTTTTTCTCAGCTTTAAATAAAAAAAAAAATGTTTTCAATATTTTTATTTATTTTACTTTACTGTCGTGGGCTTTGGGGAAATATCAGGGGCCTTAAACGGACCCCTGGTATTTTCCTATTGAAATAGAAAAAGAGATTGAGGACAGGAAGCCTCTATATTGAGTGCTCCTGTCCATTCATAAACCGTGGAGATTGTATTAGTTACTATGTCCACAATCATGAATAAACAAGGGGGAACCCAGAGCAGCACCCAGTGAGGAGGAGAGAAACTAGAGATGCACCGCATTTTCGGCAAAAAAAATTGTACTTTCGGCATTTTGCCAAAAGTACATTTTTCACCCAAAATGTTCTTCACTGTCCAATTACAGGCTGGGGGAAGGGAGGTGACCAGAGTGAACTGTTTACCTGCAATATAGAAAAGTCAGGTCACAGGTTGGCAGGTCTGTGCAAATCTCAGGAATGGCTGGACATAATGACATATCCAATGGTAAGTAAAATGGGTCCCATATATGTATTTAAACTGTACATTAAGCTGGTTGCCTGAAGTATACCTTTATATACAGAAATATCATCATGTACAAAGGACCTGATAGCCGATGACTACAAATGGCAATCTAATGAGGAAACCACAAAGCCGTTAGGCGATGTTTACTGCCGTCTCGTTGTTCCAGAGCACTTTATCTATCTATAATGCAACCTCTTCACAGTGCAGCCAAAGTGTTATAATAGTTGCCTAGGAACCCGGAAAGGGAGGGCGCGTGACTACAGCCTGGTGGGACTTTACCCATCCTTGCGTGCTGCGGCTTATATATAA